AGGCTGTATTTTTGAGGATGAAGGTACAACCTTTACTCCTAATCAGAATCCATTAAGAGCCATCCAAATTTTTCTATGCCATCTTGCTAGTGGGACTTAATTGTTCTACAATTTCCTTTACTGCCTTCCTAGTATAATTGACAAACCTTTGTTGGTTATGGTAAACATAATTGATCCACTTTCTAATCAACAGTGGCCCACCAAAATAGTGCTGATTCAAATTCAGCAGCTATTTGATTCCTAGCCTTAGAATCATCAGGAACTCTTCATTAGACTCTGATGGCATTCATATAAACTTGGAAGTCAAATGATCCACTCAGGTTGAAGTCTTGTTTCTGTCTTTGCTTTGTTGAAAAGTGCTTTGGCTGTTGAATTGCTAAGGTGAAAGGGATAGCCAGTTGAACCAAAGTACAGATTAGCAAAATAAGAGGCTAATTATTTTTTTAAACACCAAAAATCATTATTATAATTTCTGGGACTGGGATGTAACTCAGCAGCAAAGCACTTGCCTAGCAAATGCCACATCCTGGGTTCAATACCCAGTACCAATAAAAAAAAAAAAAGAATTTCTGGCAAAGTCAGAAAAACATCAGACTGAAGAAAACCTATTCTCTTAAAAAAAAAAAACATTGCACTATGCAAAACAAAAGAAATGTACATATCACCCAATGTGGAAGAAATAAGTGTATTGCAAAGCTCATAGAACTCATAAATGTTATCGACCATGATAGACAATTTGCCCCATGAAAGTTAGAATATGTATGTGACTTTAACTAAGCATCACTATCCCACAGTACTGTGAATTTGGGAAATTATGTAATCACTTAATCACAATAAAGAATTTGAAAAAAAACCCACATTGCAGTACTTTCATATATGAAACCAGCTTTCAGCATCATACTGAAATGATATAACATGAAATTTATGACAGAGAATTCTATAGTCATTACTATAATACTGTAACCTAGGTTAATTATCAAGATATAATATCTATTGTAAATCCTGTGTGAATTAAATTATAATCTGTAAAATGATTTTTCTAGTTCTACTATTTCTTCTGCAATGAGTAGGTCCTTTTCTATTAATACATTCTTGTTTATCTTTTCTATAAATGTATATTAATTACAAAAAATAATTACATTGTGAAATTTTCATTATGTCTGAAACATATGATCATATTCACCCTCCATTTCACCGTTTATCCTCCCTTTTCCTTCCACTGATCCTTTCTCTTTCCTAGTGGCCCCTGTCATTTATACATATATTGTATTGTTGATAGTATAGATTCAACTTGAGAGGAAACATGCCATCATTGTCCTTGAGTCTGGCTTCTTTCCATTAAAATGATGATCTCCAATGCCATTTATTTTTCTGCACATTATATATACATAAAAATATATTATAAATGTAAATATATAATTTAATAAGAAAGATCTATATGATATATGTAGCATAACATGCAATATATTATAGTATAACATCATTATATTATTATATATTTAACATTATATAGTATATAATGCTATATTATAATTATATAATTAATAAATTATTATATATAGTATATTATATCATATAATAATATATTTTATTAGGGCTGGGAAGGTGGCTTAGTGGTAGAGTGCTTGCCTTGCATGCATGATTCCTCAGCACCACATAAACAAAAAAAGCTGGAAGTGGCACTGTGGCTCAAGTGGTAGAGCACTAGCCTTGAGCTGAAGAGCTGAGGAACAGTACCCAGGCCCAGAGTTCAATCCCCATGACCAACAAAAAAATATTTTTTATTCATGTATTATGTATTATTGCATTAATTTATTATCTATTATATTAACACATAACATATTATAATATAATATTTTATAATATAATATAATAACATATTTTACATGCAATATACATTATATATTATATATAATAAAATGTTATATATAGTATATCATATATTACATATTATATAGTTATATAATTATATTATTGTGGAATTTTATTATACTTAATATGTAGTATGTTATATGTTATTATAATTAGTATAATATTACATTGTAATATAATATAATTATATAATATCAACTATAATTATTTTATTATATAATTATATTACATATTATTATATATTATACATGACTATATAATATATATTATTATACTATGTTATGGTAAAGATAATGTGATACATACATATATGTGTATTTATATACCCACTCATCATTGATGGGTATCTAATCTACAGTGATTCCATAACCTGGCTATTATGAGTAGAGCTACAATAGATTGGGGCATGCCACTACCTCTCTTGTAAGCTGACTTTCATTTGTTTGAATATATACCCTGGAGTGGCATAGCTGGATCATAGGATAGTTTTACAATGGCTTTACTAATTACTTTCATTTCTACCAACCTGTGCTTGTACGTACTTTTATTCTTCTTCCCTGCCTTCACTCCCTAATATTTGTTTTTTATTTTCTTGATGCCATTCTGACAGGGATGAGACAGAATCTCAGTATAGTTTTGATTTATATTTCCCTGATGGCTAAAGATATTGAACATTTCCTTTTCTTTTATCTGTTGGCCATTTGTACTTGAAAAGAATCATTTCATCTGTTCATTTACATTGGATTATTTGATCTTTTGGTGTCCAATTCTTTATAGTTTCATAAATAAAAAAAAATGTTCTGGCTGGGCGCTTTTGGCTCATGCCTATAATCTTAGCTACTCAGGATCTGAGGATTGCGGGTCAAAGCCATTCCGAACAGAAAAGTCCATAAGACTCTTATCTTCAATTAACCACCTGAAAACCAGAAGTGGCACTGTGGCTTAAAGTGGTAGAGCACTAGCGTTGAGCTGAAGAGCTCAGGGACAACATTTAGGTCCTGAGTTCAAGTCCCAGGGCTTCAAATTCCTCAATTGACAATGAAACAACAACAACAATAACAAACATGTTCTAGATATTAAATCTATCAGATAAATTAGTTGGTTAAGCTTTGCTGAATGGTGAAGCTTTTTAATTTAATGTAATCCATGATATTATTTCCTGATCTATTAGGGTCCTAATTCAGAAAGTTATTGCTTATGCTAATATCTTGAAGTTGTTATACAGGAATTCTAACAAGATACAGAGAAATGCCATACTCTGAGAGGTCAAATCCGAGTGTTCATTACAAAGCCCATGACTGTGACTGTGTCTGGACTTGTGTTCCCCAAAAACTCACAGCCTGGAAGGCAGTTAATACAGAGCTTATAAAGGCAAAAACCACATGATTGGTATGAGGAGCCAAACCTAGCAAAAGTGTGTCTACAAAGCAAAGAAAGCTAGGGGAACAATCTGGGGCAATCAAGGGCAAGAATTCTCTGGAAGAAAAGTTTCCTGGAATTTACTGACTTTCTTGGAGCTTAAGGACCCTCAACACACTTGCAGTTCTCAGAACTGGGTGAAAAGTTCCCACCATCTGATGGAGGTGAGGACAAGATAGCCTTACTTAGGCCAACTATCCATATATCAAAGTGTTCCCATATGTTTTCCTCTAGCGGTTAGTATTGCCATTTTGTTATCATTAAGGTCACCTACAACCTCCTTGCCTTACATTGTAGTTCTAGCTATTCTCCTACTCTGCCTCCAGGAGAGCCAGTTACAGTTGCTGACTATTCCTACTTTTTTTTCTGTGCTTCTTCTCTATTTCTCCTTTGTGGTTATTCTTGTTTTTAGCTGCTCTGTTGTCTTTTTTTTTCTTAAAAAAAATTTTTTTTTCCTATGCCAGTACTGGGCTTGAACTTAGGGCCTCATGCCTCTTGGTAGGCTTTTTCATTCAAAACTGACACTTGATCACTTGAGCCACATCTCTACTGTTAGCTTTTTAGTGGTTAATTAGAGACAAAAATCTCTTGGATTTGACTTCCCTGGCTGGCTTCAGAGATCCTCAGATCACAGCCTCCTGATTATCTAGGATTATAAACATGAACTGCCATTGTCTAGCTTCATTATTACTCTTTTTGGTAGCCATGTTGTATCAAAATCAGCTAGTAAGAAATCCTGCAGGGCTGGGAAGGTGGCTCAGTGGTAGAGTGCTTGCCTTGCATGCATGAGGCCCTGGGTTCGATTCCTCAGCACCACATAAGCAGAAAAAAAAAAAGCTGGAAGTGGTACTGCTCAAGTGGTAGAGCGCTAGCCTTGAGCTGAAGAGCTGAGGGACAGTGCCCAGGCCCAGAGTTCAGACCCCACGATCAGACCAAAAAAAAAGAAAAATGAAAAAGAAATCCTGCATGGTAGCACATATATGCTTTTGATGCAATTTTGTTAATTAAAAAAAAAACTACTTTCTGGCACATCAGAATATTCCATGTTCACCATTATTTCCCACCCACCCAGATATGAAGCCATTATTCTTTTTAGTGGGAAAGTATTTAGAAACTAGGATATGGGCACATACTGATTGCTGGGCATTTATTGTGTACTCAAATTTAACATCACAGAGAGTTTCTTTGGCTTCCTTAATTGTATTTTTATATCTCTTTTTGCACATAGTAAGGCTTATCTAACATCAATATAACTATTTCCTCAGGACTACGACATTTTAAAAAAAAAATCCTAGAATTCCAATATTGGTATTACCACTAACAAGAAATCTACTAAAAAAAGTTTAAGATTTTTTTGCATGGGGGTAGAAGGGAAAAACTGAGAGAGAGAAAGAGAGAGAGAGAGGAAAGTGGTAACATTGTCCAAACAGAAATGAACTCTTTACTTGACCTATGTAACTGTAACCACTCTGTCCACCACCTTTATAATAACAATTTTAAAAAATTTTAAAGATTTTTTGCAGTCCTTTCCCATATGTCTATATTCTACCATAAATGTATACTCAGAATACTATGTTCAATTTTTCCTGAAATAATTTTATGTTTACTGTGTGGTTAAATTATCAATTTCATATGGAATTAACCATTATTGTTTCTCTTTGTTTTCAAAGTTGAGATAGTTGAATTAATATTATATTTCAATTCAACAGAGACCTGAGAAATGAAGCCTAAAATGAAGTGCACAACCTCCAAAATTTCTCCAGCCAAACTGAAGAGCTCAGCTGAAAAATCCCTGGTAAAATCTTGCAAACTAAGAAGTAAGGAATTAACATTTTTAGGCATTTTCTACACTATTTTTGTCATCAAATGCTTGTTAATACAATGTTTATATATGCTGCCTCACAAAAGCCACTAAGCTACAAAAGCTGGCATTAAAAAAGAGTGGTTGATAATAATATAATATAGCATCTTTTAGTTTTGAACAGACCATATATACATACATACACTCATATAAAACTTTTGTTTGTTTGATTCATCACAGGACAATAATGGCTCAGATAACTTAAACCTATGGACAGTATAAATAACAATAGCTTTTATTGCAACCAGTTTGCTCTACCCATACTTTGTCATCAAATCACTAAATTATTTTCCCTACTGAACAAAGTTGTAAAGTAAACCACTTTCATTCAATAAATACTTGTTAACATCCCTTGATGTATCAACCATATGGCCTTGTGATTATTTTTTCACAAGTTTGTACTGCTATTATAAAGGTGATATACAGTCTGGGCACCGGTGGCTCATGCCTATAATCCTAGCAACTCAGGAGGCTGAGATCTGAGGATTGAGGTTCAAAGCCAGACAGGGCAGAAAACTCCATGAGATGCTTATCTCCAATTATCCACCAGAAAACTGGAAGTGGAGCTGTGGCTCAAGTGGTAGAGCACTGGCCTTGAGCTGAAGAGCTGAGGGACAGTACCCAGGCCCAGAGTTCAAGTTCCATGACTGACAAAAAAAAAAAGGTGATCTACAGATCAGTATAATTACATAAGTCAGGTAAAGAGTACAATTCTTTTTGGGCAATGTCACCCATTCCCTTGTTCTCTCTCAGTTCTTCCCTCCTGTAAGTTGTATGGTTCATTTTCAACATAATGTATAGTGAGTACCACTAATGCATTTGTTCACCCTTTGATAACTTGTGATTATTGATGAAAGAGAGAACAATGATATTTGAACAATCTAGGCCCTAAATAAATCAGAATTACTGAACTGATTCTAAAATATGGAATAAGATAAAAGGGAAATAAAGACATGACATGACATGAAAGGACTTATGTCTATGAGCTTTAAAAATATCTACCTACGAAGCCAGGAGCCAATGGCTCAAGCCTATAATCCTAGCAACTCAGAAGGCTGAGATCTGAGGGTTGCCGTTCAAAGCCAGCCTGGGCAGGAAAGGCTGCGAGACTCTTATTTCCAATAAATCACCAGAAAACCAGAGGTGGCACAGTGGCTCAAGTGATAGAGTGCCCACCTTGAGCTGAAGAGCTGAGGGTTAGCACTCAGGCCCAGAGTTCAAGCCCCATGGGAAAAAAAAAATCACCTATGAAAGGATCCTGCAAATACACAGTTTTTCATATGAGAGCAGAAACACAAAAGAGTTAACAGAGTTCTGTTGGACTGGAGAGAAAATGGAAGGTATGGAAACATGGTAAGCCTGGTACCTCCTTGTCCTTCATTCTCCTCCAGGTGAAAAGAGAAGGCAGTAATTAAAAATGTCATTCTGTCTCCTCTTGTTCTTCCTGAGGTTCTTGCTTACAGATGCTGTTTTGGTAAGCAGAGAAAAAAAATTCAACTAATTTCTGAATTTCAAGGAAATCACATTTAATAGTCCCTTTACTTGTAGCTGACTTAAAATGCTCTGAGCAGAAACAGTGATTGGGTGGAAGTCACTTAAGTGTTTCCATATTCCTTCTTATTAAAAAATGGGCTTCCTCCCTCCCTCCCTTCCTTCCTTCCTTCCTTCCTTCCTTCCCTCACTCCCTCCCTCCCTCCCTTCTTCCTTCCTTTCTTCCTTCCTTCCCTCTTTCTCTCTTTTGTTCTCTTTTCCTATGCTAGTACTGGGACTTGAACTTGAGGCATCATGTTCTCGCTTAGCTTCTTTGCTCATGGTTGGCACTCAACCACTTGAACTTCATTTCCAGCTTTTTGCTAGTTAACTAGAAATTGAGTCTCACAGATTTGTCTGCCCAGCCTGGCTTTAAATGGAGATGGCTTTAAATGGAGATCCTCCAGAATAGTTAGAATTGATAAGGAAAGCCTTATCAATTATATCAGAAGTAGCTCAGTCCCACCATTATCAGAACTAGCTCAACTTGATATTGCCAGAACCAGCTTGCACATAATTTTTGAGAAACTGTAACCATTGGGGTAAACAAAAACTCAAACACCTCCAAAACTGTGCTTTTCCTGATACAAGGATTGTATTCCTCTCAGAGTTTGGAGTAGAAAGCCCTCTGGGCCAGCTGGCAAAAATGGAACTGAGTTCTCCTATTTCTCTGAGTGTTGCTTGGTTTCTTGTCTGTTTTCCTGTAGCAGAATTACAGATGTGAGGCACAGGTTCCCAACAAGCATGAGTTTTCTTATATCCAGAAAATAAGGGCTTTACAGGTACTAGAATGTGGGAATAGGCACTAATGCCAAACTTTAACTCCTTATTGGTGCAGTGATCCTAACTGTTTATCCATACCACTCAGAGGAGAGCGAAAGATAATCCCCAAGTCATTTATATGGCTCTGGAATACAGCACATTTTGGGGGGGGGGGTCCAGTCGTGGGGCCTGAACTCTGGGCCTGGGCGCTGCCCCTCAGCTCTTCAGCTCAAGGCTAGGGCTCTACCACTTGAGCCACAGGGCCACTTCCGGCTTTTCTTTTGCTGCTTATGTGGTGCTGAGGAATGGAACCCAGGGCCTCATGCATGCAAGGCAAGGGCTCTACCACTGAGCCAACTCCCCAGCCCCATAGCACATTATTTTTATTGCCACCTATGAAGATCTTCCAATCGCACTGATAGAATAGTCTTACATTTTTATGGAGTGGGGGATCAGGGCCTTACTAGGTAAGTACTCTATCACCAGAGCCATATACACAGTTCTTTGCTTTTAGTTTGTTTTTCAGATATAGTTTAAATTATTTTACCCAAGCTGGTCTCAGGCCATAATCATCCTATTCTGGCCTCTCAAATACCTGTGGTATTACACTGTACCCAGCTTATTTTTGTGATAGGGTCTCACGTTTTTGTCCAGGCTAGCCTTGCGTCAAAATTCTATCTCCACCTCTCAAGTAGTTGAGATCACAGGTATCTACCAATATGCCCAGATTTTAGCTTAATATTAAAATTGCAATTATTTAAACACTCCTAGTGAAAAAGTTATCAAGTAGCTAGGCAGTTTGTGGCAAGTATGACCCAATACTCAAAGCGCAAGAAATCTCACACCCATTCCTTTTTTAAACAAACTGTTCTGAAGTTCCAGACAAGACAAAAATAGCTCATTTAATTCCTTCTTCTACCTTATTCTACTAGGATGTGACATTTCACAGCTCACAAATCCCCAAAACAATATCCATCCACTACAGGTATCTGTACCCCCAGGTCTGTCACCTTGTGTACCAACAATGTACAGAACTTAATGCAAACCCTCTCCAGAGTTTCCCCTTCTCATTTCCCAATTATCTAAATGGGAGACCTGGCATAGTGCTGCATTCGTCTCAATTCAAGTTCCATAAGAGGAACAGATAAAGGGACTGTAGTCCAAGGCTAGACCCTGGCAAAAATGTAAGCTTTGGGTATGATTCTGTGCTAGATTGCCTGCCTAGCAAACAAGGACCAAGGATGGGCCCTCAATTCAAATCCCATTAGCACTAAAAGTTTGTTTGTTTGTTTTTAAGAGATAATAAAAACAACAAGAATCTAAATGTGTAGCTCACCTGAGGAGAATTAAAGATTTGGAAACATTGTATCTATACCCTTGCCTGGGGATCACTTGTCCAGAACTAATTAGAAATCAATCCTTTTTGACTAAGTCTGGACATGTAAGATCTCTTGTGGAGATCAAAGGAGCATCAACTTTATCCTGGGAACAGTAGGGAACCACTGAACAGTAGGGAACCACTGGAAATGTTTAAGAGGGGAAAAACAAACTGAACTTAATTTAAATAGACCACATTGGTGTGAGTATAAAGACCGAAAAGAGTACAAACAGAAACTGAGATTCAATTTTTTTCTACAGACCAAATGATTTTCCTATCTCATTTGGCAGCAGAATATGTCCTGAACTCATTTATTTGTTAAATTCCAAACTGAAGGGGAAGGGGGGGAGGAGAAGGATTGGGATTGGGGGGGAGAGGGGAGGCTGGGAAGGGATGTGAAGGGTAAACAAAGGAGGAGGCTGCAATGCTTGGTAAGAAATGTATGCA